GGACTCCATCTAATCAGGACATTTTTTTCCATGGTGGGAAGGGGGGAAATGTCAGGTTTAATCCCATTGGTACTCAACATTGGTTAGTTAACTAAGAAGCTTGAAAAGTGTTTTCTCTAAAATAATAGAAAATAGCAGTCACATTTTATGATGCCTCTAGTAAAAAGCCTAGCTCACAGAAGGGTGAATGGTACTTGGGAAGGGGCACTGCTTATTCCAGGAGGGATCAAAGTTATGTTACCAAGAGAGAATCTGTTCCCTCATAAACTACATCATTATGATTACTCTGGAAGAACCAAGAACTAGTTTTAGCACAGTTGTGTCCTTCTCCATTTGGAAAAATAAGCGTTTCACTGGAAGCTGGGTTATCACACTAGAGCACCCAGGACCTTCCTTTCTCTTTGGGCTCAGTACTTTCTGGTTTGGAGGTAACAGATCCAGTAGTTTGGAGCTTTGAGTTGACATTAATGTGTGGCTAGGTTCCCATGCACTCAAGATACAAGAAAGTGGAAACATTTCTTTTTCTATATAGTTAGGTGGGCTATCGCTTCCAAGCTGAGCAGTACGGGGTACTGAGCTGGCAGACTCAGCTGAGAAGTCTTCAGGAAGGAAGCGCATCATATCTGAGAGAGTAGTGGAGGAAGGATATGATGTATTCTATGGGCTATGATCTTCCGAGACTCATACCTCAGCGCTCCTCACTGCAGCTCTTATGGCTGTGTGAGCAAGTGGTGCCATATGCTCATGTCTGAATAATGGTTTCTCAGCTTGTGGTGCTAGTTTGAGTGGCTGTAGACCCTTCAGGAAATGGAGTAGGATGGCAGCAGTAGATCACTGGGGGCGGGCCTTTGAATGGTATACCCAGCCCCTGAGTCTACACCCTGTGTTAGTACTGCTGGATGCACATTCCCCAACACCACCCCTGCCCTATGGTCTGGTCTCTTTGCCATGCCTTTTCTGCTATGATAGACGGAAACTTTCGAAACCTTGAGCCAGAATAAATCTTTCCTCCTTTACATTGTTTCGAGGTGCTGGAGTCATGGTGATGTAAAAGTGACTAGTCCAGAAGCTCTGGAGGAAAAATGTGTTAGAAAAAAAATCACAGCTTCTATGCATCTTACACTAAGTTGCCTTATGCAGGAGTCATGGCCTTTTATTCATCCACTAACTATTTGATAAGCTCCCACTGTGGAGGGAACACAGTGTTACCTGCCGAGTACGGTGACAAATAAAACCAGATAGGGTTCTTGGCATCATTTAACAATATTTCAGCAAAAGGGATAGAAAGTAAATAAGCATGAATATGAATGAGAGCGACAGCTTGGGCCACATTCTAGGAGGGAGATGGAATGACTGACAGCTACAGTTTAGGTGTTTTGGAAGACCTCACAGAAAAGCATCCTTTAGATTGAGATCTGACCAAGGAGTAGGAGCAAGTGCAGTGGGTGTGCGGATAGATGGGCAGACAGAAGGGCAGGCAGCAAGGCACTGGGGACAGAAAGCTCTTAAACTTTGGAGCAGTGATGCTTAACTTGGATGTACAATGAGATATCCTAGGGAGCTTTAGTATGACTGGTGTTTGGTACTCAGAGAGGCTGCTGTGGAGGCATGGGGAGGAGTGACTGTGGCTGGATGTAGTGAGAGCAGAAGGCTCCAAGCAGGGGTGCACCACGGAGGACCACCCAGGATCATTTAAGACCGTGGGTTTTTTTTTTTTTTAAGGAATTCAGATTTGATCTTACTCAGTGAAATAGATGCATTCATTTCAACCATGACAGTGTGTGTGTGTGTGTGTGTGTGTGTGTGTGTGTGTGTGTGTGTGTGTGTGTGCACATGCATGCATGCCTCTACCGCAGCTTCCCTGATTACCAAACATCAGTCAGTTCTAAAGCTCCCTGGGAAATCTCATTGCATGTGCTCATGTACGAGAGAAAACAGGAAAACAGGAGATACACAAATGAGAGACAGCATCATTCTGTCCATCCTGCCTAAGAGGACAAAAGTATTATTGTGTGGATATGAGATGTTTCCCATGAGCTCAGATATTGCCAGAGAAGGGCTTTTAGGAAGGGACTAAATCCCAAGGGCTCTCATCTGATCAACAAATTGCTTCTCAATTGATTTCTGATATGTTCTTGTTGAAATGTGGTGGAAAGCAGAAAGTGAGACTGAGATAGAGAAAGTGGGTCACGGGGTGTTCCTGGAAAGCTGCATCTCATCCCCTGCTGCTGTGCCCTCTTCTCTGCTTCCTGGATGCCGTGATGTAAGCAGCTCTTCTCCATCATGCCCTCTGCCCTGGTGTTCTGCCTTACCAGCGAGACAAACAACAAAGCCACTGAGCACTGACTGAACTTTCTGGAACTCTGAGGCAAAAATAAAATCTTTTCTTACTTTAAATTTTTGTTCTTGGTTATGTCTTATAATGATTTTAAAAAGTCTAGCAGGAGAGATAATAGTTTTTTTTTTTCCCAGAGACTGTCACTTGCTATATGGAAGCTTTGGCTCCTAAAGCCAAGATAGCCCCTGAAACATAAATGAAAGATGGGATTTCCTGATTTTTTCCTCATTTAATAAGTAGAACAGGGGCATAGATTTTATCAAAACACATTATATGCATATATTAAACTCTCAGTTCTAACAAATGGAGGCATCTGGCATGTCCAGGTTACCAAGGGGTCAGAGAGACTTCTTGAAGACTGAGGAATGGAAATTTATTCTTCAGAAAGCAGACTGAATGGGGAGGGCCCTCTTGAAGTTCCAGGGAAATGTCATGTCATCAGAAAGTTACACAGTGCTTCATCACACATTGTGGTACACTGAGCAGCATCCTCAGTGTCATGTAGAGTGCGTTAGACATAGGGATGTCACTCCAAAGCTACTGATTCAAACTTTTTCTTCCACTGGATCCCCAGGTTGAACAGAACTTCTGTTATGGCTTGAATTCATGCCCCCTAAGATCATATGCTAGCAACTTGATTCCCAACACAACAGTGTTGAGAGGTGGAGTGTTGAAGAGGTTATCAGGTTTAATGGGTTAAAGCCACTACTGTGTGTGTCAAGCTGACAACAATCTGTCACAGCAACAAAAACCAAACTAGAATCAAAATTGGTACCAGAGAGAATAGGATCTTGCTGTGATGGACCTGAGCATGCTTTTCTCTTTCTTTCTTTCTTTCTTTCTTTCTTTCTTTCTTTCTTTCTTTCTTTCTTTCTTTCTTTCTTTCTTCCTTCCTTCCTTCCTTCCTTCCTTCCTTCCTTCCTTCCTTCCTTCCTTCCTTCCTTCCTTCCTTCCTTTCTTTCTTTCTTCCTTCTTTTTTTTCTTTCTAGAGAATTGTGGGAAGATTTTAGAACCTTGGGTTGGGAAAGCCATTAACTGCTCAAAGCTTAGTGGGCTTCTCTGTGGGAACTTGCAATAGAAGAGCATTGAGAGAAATTCATACAAAGGAGACCTGGCTTGTAAAGTTTCAGAGGCAAGTAAAAACTCCATCAGGGCTGTTCAGGTGATATATTTTAATTAATAATCTGTGGCCTTTGGTAATCTGGTGCTCATTGAAGAAAACCTCCTGGAAAGTATTTCCACAGGGTCAGAACACAAACCATGGTCTAGAGAGACTAAGGCTGCATCCATTCTCAAACTTGGTAATATGTAAGAGTCTCCCACATAGTACTTATTTTGGTAGCATGGAAGCTGCAGAATTGAAGGGGTCAGGGAGAAAGCTGAGGCTTAGCACCATGTGAGAAGGTTGAAGTCCATCAAGAGAGTCCAGGAAGCTATTGGTGGAAGTGCAACCTCAGATGTAGTGGGAACTCCAGCATGTTTGAGATGCCAAGACTGTGGCATGACCACTAAAGACAGTGTCAAGTGTGGAGTGAATCTGGCCTGACTCTATTAGGCAGGTGGTGTGTGTTGAAGATGACAGAGCTGGAGAAGTAGAGCTACCCAAGTCTCCTGGAGCCCAGAAGACTGTGAGTCCCAGATGCCTTACACTGAGTTAAAGGATTTGATTTATACTGCTGGATGTTGATTTTGATTCAATGTGATTGTAACTGTGCCTTGGTTCTTCCCTTGTGGGATAAAAGGTTTGTGATTTAATTTTTATTTTACAGGAGCCTACATCTGAGAAATGTTTGAGTTTTAAAGAGATATTGGATGTTTGAGAGACTGGAGTTGTGTTAAAATTCAAAAGACTGTGAGACTTTAAAAGTTGGAGTGTGGTTTATATTGTGATGCCAATCATAACATGAGATCTTGGGGGGATAAACAAAAAAGGAAAGATTGTAGTTTAATGGTGATGTGTTTTTGTGTCAAATTGACATGGGATTAATTGTGCCAGTTAATTTTTTGCTAATTTGACGTAAGCTAGAGTCATCTAGAAAAGACAATGTAAATTGTGCATTGCCTCTATCAGATTGGCCTGTGGACAAGTCTGTGGGGCTTTTCAATTTCTTGACTGATGATTGGTATGGTAGGGCACAGGCCACTGTGGGCAAAAACACCCCTGGGAAAGTAGTCCTGGGTTATGGAAGAAAGCAAACTGAGAAATCCCTGAGAGCAAGCATTCCTCCATGACCCTTGCTTCATTCAGTTCCAGCCTCCACGTCCCTACATTGAGTGTCTGAGTTGACGTCACAGATGAAGGACTGTATGCTGTAAATCAAGTGACAGTCCCCACTCAGGTTGGTTTTAGTCAGTGCTTTTATCACAGCAACAGAGGAGCAAACTGGATTGTCACAGGAGTGGGTTAGGTTTCTTAGAAGCCAGTTTCTTACAACATAATAAACTCAACCCCCTCCGCCCTCCAACACACACACACACACACACACACACACACACACACACACACACACACTCCATATATATTTTCTTCTCTGTCTTTCTGATTAGGAGACAGAGGCACTTTTATATCTTGTATTATAAAGATAATTTGTGCTACATATTGTAGCACAATGGTTTAATAATATACACTATAATGGTTTGTTGGTTTCATGTTAATCCCCAGCCCCAGCCCAGATGCTCACGGAGGAGTATAAAGTGGAAATAGACAGACATCAATGAGATTCCACATCTCAAGAAGTGCCAGAGCTCCTATATCCAGAGAACGAGGGAGAATGTGAGGCGTGGTGGCAGGGGAGCCACGAATAACACACATCTCAGAGATGTGTCTGAGCACCTGAGCAGAAGGGGGAGGCTGAGCTCCAGAGTGGATGACTGCCTTTGTGTCCTCTCTTCCCATGAAGCCATCTTGCTGGAGATCAGACGTGGAACAGTGTTTTTAAAAAGATGTTAAGTCACTGCTGTCCCAGACCACCAGGTCTCTGAATAAAGCATAACATAAAGATTTCTTTCTTGTGTCCATTCATCCACCCATTGGTGGCAGGCAGCATAGGCTAGGTTCTTGTTGTTCTTATAGATTCTGGAAAGTTGCTTCAGGACTCTCTAGTAAGTCACTGAATTAACAAGGAGCCCTGGTGGCTGCCTGGACAGGGAGTACCTGGGAATTCACCCTGGACTGTGATTTCACTTGAGGACTTTCCTTCCTCAGCTCCCCTGAACTCTCTCTGTTGTCATCCAGCAGATCGACTCCCCAAGCTTTCTGGTTTGCTTCCTGAGTCAAGACTTACCTGGTCTGGTTTAAAAATGCTTTCTCTTCCATTCCTGTTCCAGACATGGCCTGTGTGGCCTCTGGTTTGAAAGTACCTTTCCGTCCTGCCTTGTTCTGTGTGGTTTATTTCAGGGCTCTGATTGTTAGAATGGATGACACAGCCTCCATTCCTGCTAGCAGACCTTGTTAGCCGCCCCTTAGGGATATGCTCTTGTAAAATTGATCTGATTATGCCTATGCAGCTATGAAAAATAAGTAGCCATTTTCTGTCTTCCCTAGTTCCTCAGGAGAGCAAACGCCTTTTGTAGCCCAAACTGCAATTACAAGACTAAAATAAAGATTTTTGGTTCCCTGTATATTTTTCACCTTCTGCCCTCTTGCTCATACAAGACAGATCGCTGTCTCAGGCCATTGGAAGCTTCTTATTTGGGCCAGCCTTTGTTAAACTGTAACATTCTACAACTCTCAGACCTTTGTAAGACAGAAGAAAAAAATGTAAAAGAATCTTTCTAAAAATCCAAATGGTAACATGGTGAACAATCAAGCCTGCAAGTCAAACACTAGTAAACATAAACATGAAAAATCTGCAAGATTCAAGAGTAACAGACAAAAATGACATCTACAAATGACAAACACACTGAGGAAGAGATCAAGGAAACAGTACCTTTCCCAATACCTCACAAAATACCTTGAGGAAACTCTAATCCAACAAGTTGAATGACTTGCATTATAAAAATTAGGGGGACAATGAAGAAAGACATTGAAAATGACATCAGAAGATGGAAAGATCTCCCATGCTCATGGGTCAGTAGGATTAATATTGTGAGGATGACCACCCTACCAAAAAGCAATCTACAGATTCAATACAATCTCCATCAAAATCCCAATACAATTCTTCATATAAATTGAAAAAAAAAAACAATCTTCAACTTCACATGAACACACACACATACACACACACACACACACACACACACACACATATGCACACACACACAACTCAGAATATCTAAAACAATTCTGAATAATAAAAGAACTGCTGGAGATATCACCAGCCCAGATTTCAAAATGTATTACAGAGCTACAGGAATAAAAGACAGTTTGGTATTGTCACAAATGCCAGCTTGACTAATGGAATAGAATTGAAGATCCAGACATAATTCTACACAACTATGGACATCTGATTTTTTGACAAAGAAACAAAAAGTACACACTGGAGAAAAGACAGATCTTCAACAAATGGTGCTGGTCTAACTGGATGTCTGCATGTAGAAGTCTACACACAAAACTCAACTCCAAATGGATCAAGGACTCAACATAAGTCCAGCTACCCTGAATCTGATAGAAAAGAAAGTAAGAGAATAGTTTTGCACTCATTGGCATAGGAAAAGGTTTTGCAAACAGGACACTAATACCATAAGCATAAAGACCAACAATTAATAAGTGGGACCTCATGAAACTGAAAAGTTTTCATGCCATAATTTGAGCAAAGTGGCAGCCTTCAGAATTGAAAAATATCTTTCCTGATCATACATCTGATAGAGGGTTATTATCAAGAATACACAAGGAACAAAAAAATCACCCTGAATATCAAGAAAACATAACTCAGTTAAAAAATGTGGTATAGTGCTATACACAGAGCTCTCAAAAGGTGAAACACAAATGGTGGAGAAACACTTTAAAAGATGTTCAACATCCTCAGCCATAAGGGAGATACAAACTGAAACCTCTTTAAGATTTTATCTTATACCAGTCAGAATAGCCCAGATCAATAAAACAGATGATGACTCATGCTGGTGAGGAATGCAAACTGGTACAATCTTTATGGGAACTTTAGGTTCCTTGAGAAGCTGGGAATCAGTATACCTCAAGATCTAGCTATACCACTCTTGGGAATATATCCAAATGACTTTGTATCTTACTATAAAGATCATAGCTCACACACATTCATTGCTGTTCTATTTATAATATCCAGAAATTAGAAACAACCTAGATATCCATCAACTGATAAATGGATAGTGAAACTTTAGTACATATAAACAATGGAATATTATTTAGCTGTTAAGAAAAACAAAATTACAAAATTTTCAGGTAAATGGATGGAGCTAGAAACAACCATCCCGAGTAAGGTAACTCAGACCCACAAAGACAAATAATGCAGATTTTCTCTTCTGTGTGGGTGTTAGCGTTTAAACTTTAGATATGTGTATTTCAATCAAAATAACCACAAAGGTCGCATGGCTGGTAAGGGACCAGGTGAGGAGGAGGAGATCTTTCAAGGAAGCAGAAGCAGAGGATAGCATCATAAAGAGGGGGGATTATAACAGAAGATTAATTGGGGATGGGGACAGGAGGTCTCATAGTAAATGAGAATATTAGGAAGGACAGCTAATACTAAAGCTTTTTTGAAAACTCTATGGAAACTTAGCTATGTAGAAGCTCCCTAAAATGAAAGGAATCTAAATGAAGTCACTATAGAACGGGGGAGACAGTGCCCCAAATGGACATCTTATGCTACCAAATTTTACTCCTACTGACTAGTAATCATGCTGCTGGATAGTACTTTGCACACACTACTGGAGGATAGAAATAATCATCAGTATCATCCAGCTACAAACCTTGTATGAATTTAGGACCCATTCGTTAACATGGAACCCATACAAGACACAGCTAAGGTTGCCAAGAGTCTGAGACTAGATACCTATACCTCCTATGGGCCTAGGAGAAAACCTACTATTATTCTGCTAAAGGTGCATATCAATCAAATGACAGTGACAAACTGCTGTACCAATAAATTGGCCCTCATCAGAAAAGCTTCTTCTTGAAGTAGATGGGAATTAACGCTGAGACCATAACTGGACCATGTGCAGAGAGTGACTTTTGAGCAATCAGTCCTCAATGAAATGCCTTTATCTAAACCCTCCTCTTAATGCCCTGGGATCTCTGTGGAAGAAGAGGCAGAAAGAGTCTCTGAGCTAGAGGTGGTGGGTAACTCCAAGGAAACCATGTCTTCTAGACACAATGGTGATGATGAAGATGTAAACTCACAGAGCTAGGCAGCATGCACAAGACCTTCTCAGGTTCATACCAGACAAAATTCCAACCCCGATAAGGGGAAGCGGACACAAAGTCTCACCCCTAACCAAGAAGCTATTTGCATTGATACCTGCTGGGAAAGGGAAATTTAGCTTTCTCCAATGGAGTATCACTGCACATATCAACCACATGCCAGGGCTCATGCCCAGGAGTAGTTGGCCAACACAAAATGGGATCCAAGTTTTTTATATCTGCTCTTTTTGTTTTGGTATTTTTTTATCTTATTGATTTTCTTCTCTTTTATTTTTAGTTTGTTTTTCTGTTTTGATTTTCAGTTTTTGTTGTTTTTCCTGGCCTTTTTTAGAGAGAGAGAGAAAGAAAGAGATATAGAAAGAATATGAAGTTGATGGGGAGAGTTTTGGAGGAGTTGTGGGAGTAAAAAGAATATGATCCAAGTGTATTGCATGAAATAATTTTTAAATAATTTTTTTCTTAAAATGAAAGTGATAGTAAAGTCTGCCTAGGATTTATAATATACAAATACTTTATAGTCTCACAATGCATGGATGAGTAATCTGGTTTGTTACATTATGTCATGAATGTAGTTTAGAATCAATTTTCTTTTAATGAGTTGGTAAAATTATTTTTTTTATTTTGCTGTCTGATAATATATATATATATATATATATATATATATATATATATGTAAAACACCAAAACCCTAGTAAGTAAGAGGGGGAGTAGAGAAAGATGTAAGACTATATATATGTAAGGGATATATTTTTGGTAAGGAAAGTTACACAGCAATACATTTTCTTGATGGGGAAAATAGAAAAGGAAAAAGGAGGACAAAACCATGAAAGTTAAGCATGTTACAAAAGGTCTGGTACGTTCCATAGGGCTCATGGAAGAGGAATCTGTAAAGTGGCATCTGTGTAATGACTAAAGATTCAGTACGTTGATTTAAAGCTAGAACCTAGACCTCTAGTTAAGTCAGTGAGATTCTCCTAGGGCATTAATCTGCTCTGGGTAGCATAAAAATGCATAAAAACAACACCAACAACAGTCTGTTTGATGAAGATAGTTATATTTTCTGCTAAGGCTTTGGGGTTTTTAACTAGTTAAAGTCTAACTCTTAACTAAGGGGAAATCACCCATTCTCTCCTTACATACATGCCCAGGGCTGCTCCCTTCTCAACACCCCTGCTTCACAAGCTGTGGATCAGTAAATTGAACTCACTCACAATTCTTACTGGTTCTGGAAGCTTCTGTTTGTGGCCTGTCTTGCTGGTTCCAGTCAAGTCTCCCACCTCTCTGGTTCTGCTATGGTTTATGACTCCAAATATTAGTTCTATCTCTCACTCAATTGGCCCCCAATCCTCTCAGGGAACTAACCTCTGCCCCTCTTTTTCCATGTACTGATACCTCTGGATACCCACTGATCAGCTGATCTCCTGCAATACCAACATGAGTGTCTCCTCCCTACTCTACAGGCCAGAGAATAGATGCCTGCGGTGGCTGGACCACTGACTCAAGGTCACATCGTAGTAACAAGAGCCCTGGTACTGAACCAAGAGCTGTCAGACTCTACATCTTGCACACTAAATAATGAAGAAATATGGCTCTCTGCATGAACAATTTTATCGATCTTCCTACAGGAT